TACGACATAAGTTGAGATTCATTATAAGTTGTGTAAAAAATTATGTTATTTGATATCCTGCCACCTAATATTTATTTATTTTACATTTGCCTCTACGTAGTATAGGCATCTACGTATATAGGCCAATACCAAGCAAATGTGTTGTCATTTATTCTGTCTTCTTTTATTTCTGATTCTTGTTTACATTGTCAACAGATCTCTAGACCACTTTTTAGTCGTCGTTAAGGCACGCTCACTGGGTAACAGGGAGAAAGAAAGAGACAAAACGAGTGGGTTTGAATGATTGAAAATAGAACAATGGAATGTTGAGTATGTAGAAATTTACATGTCTTTGTGTATGTTGTGATTTGAAATAAACCAAGGAGATTGTTCTATGAATTTGAATTGTGTGGTTTGAATTTTGTTTGTGTGTGTGTTTTGCAAAACCCCAAAGTTCTGCTCCGTATGTCCAAACAGATCTTAGTATGGTGGTGTAGATTAGTCTCTTCTTTTGTAAGTTGAGTGGAGATCTGCAAACCAAAAGATGTAACAGTTGTTTGTATCTTCTAATCAGTTCTTTTTTAAAATTTTGTTTATACGTTCCAGGTGAGGTTTTTGTCCAAGTATAATCACCTAATGGAATTCAATTTTTAAAATAAAAATTACTACTATAAATTATTGCAAAGCTTTAATTTTTTTCAAGACGAGATTATAATAAATATAAATGGAGAGATACAATTTTTACAAAAAATAAAATATTAAAAATAATGATTTATCAAATATGTATTATCTGAAGGGATAATGAGTTTTACTGCCACCTGTTTAAATATTTTCCTTTGGTTGTGAGACACCCTGTGTATCACGTAAAAAACTCTATTTGTGTCAATACATCTGTCATAAAAAATAATAAAACTTAAAACAAAAAATTGATATGACCCATATTTGAAAATTAATCCAAGTGAATTGAATTTTATAAGTGAACTCAAAAATATTCGTGATGCAACAATTCTCTTTACTTTATATCGATGAGTGAGCAAAATAATAATATTATATTATTATTTTGCCTTTTAATATAGTTATTCTTTGATAGCTTTTTTGAAAGATATGTACAATAAACCAGAATAATGTAGATTCTTTGGGGATGAAATGCAAGCCGCCATTACAGGAGCATAGGACCTAAGCCGAAAGAGAGATAGCAGTCTATTCTCAATTGGATTACGCCATGCTATTTGCCACGCCCTTCACTTAGTTCATAAATTATACTTACTCCATTCATAAAACGAACACTCCATTCCAATCGGACGTTCATCGAAGATCAAAGGATCATTTTCTATGATATCATGGGTACAAATGGATGTTCAATTTCAAACCGGTTTATAAGTTATATTTTCCAACATAATTGTGAATATGAATATATTATTTTTTTTTAAGTGGCCATTATATGGTTATCCTCGTTTATAATTATTATAATGAACCTAATAAACTTAACAAAATAGAATATAGTCAACTTTTGGTAAGAAAAAAATTTCTAACCGAAATTACTTTTGATCTTACCTAGTTATGTAACTAGTATACAATATTTCCACAAATTTGTTCATTTTAATTCAAACCAATTTAAATATATACATCTATTAATATCAATAATAAAATTACTCCAAGCCTAACTGAAAAGTATTTAAGTTGCAAGTAACGGTATTTAAATACTTTTAAGTTTATACTAAGGTCGTGCCTTATTTCACATAGCTGGTTTCTATAACTGTTATTATAAAACGGGACATACTGTAAATTTGAAATAGACCACTTAAATGTATTTCGACTCCCAGGTAGCCTTGTTCTGGAAAGGTCGCCAGATTTCCTTGTGACCCACCCTACCCTTGAGGGCAATAATACCTCCCCTAATCACCTGCAACCATAAATTCAACAACTTCAGAAGAATTACTTATAACATGACATCCAGGAAGTTTACCTGTTCTAATCTGAGCAACTGACCCACATGTCTGCCATACCTTTGTTCCTTGGTGTGTCAAAGTACTGAATTCTGCTATTGGATTTGTAATTATATTCATTCCATATATTATGTCCATTGCAAATGTAATTAATATTTTCTATAACAAGGAAGCGTATTCAAAAATGGATGTTTAAAAATACAACAAAAGTAGGTTAAGAACTTACATAAGTATAACATTAATGATAGGCCAGGAAATCAGTCGTTTTATATATTTAAAAATACTTTCCTCAAGAAAAGCGTACTAAGCCACAAGAAAACCTAAATTAATTCTTATGAAGAATTCATGTCATTCTAGAATAGCAGATGCTATCATTAATTTTTTAAAACTTTTAACAGATATTCTTTATTTTTGACCATATCTTATAAGATTTGAAAGCTTCAATATTTAAAAAAAAATTCATTATTCATAAAACCATTGAAACTTAAACAGGGTCGCTTTTTGAACGATTTAAACTTCAAGACCCGCTACGGAACATAAAAAGTTTGATTAGGGTTCGGTTTGGCAAGAATAAAATGGTGTATGATTCAGAAGGAGGGGGGTAGTTATTAAAATTGTTTAATAAAATTCAACTTTTTGATTACAATAATAGTATAATAAAATCAATTTATTTTAATTTCCATTAGAATACAAAAGTTTTTGTAAGAATTATTTCATTAAAAATACTGGTTTTGGAAATCAATATTTTAACGCCTATGTTATTTTAAATTTTTAGTTCGTATAAAAAAAAAAAAAATTCACCATAGAAAACATCGTGTTTTACGTAGGAATCGATAATCATTTCGATTTCCAAAAATAAAAATCGATTAAGCTTCTCTTTGTAAATAACCACCATTGTTATAAAACATCCATCTAAGTTTATCCTGATTTTACTTCGAATAATATGGATATATGCTATTATACACACTGAGATATGCATTATTCAAAATAAAAATAAATTTCTTATCATAAAAATGAAAAAGCACCATTGTGTATTACTGGATTTTCTTCACTGGACAAAATTTGTTTTGTTTTTTTATCATCCTAATGTTTATGCTAAATTTTATTTTCATTTAACAACAACTGATAAATTGCCATTTATTATTATTTGACGAGGAAAAATTATACGACCATAAAAAATTGTTAAAAATCGTTCTGAAGATGTGTTCAAAACTTGAAATAAAACAAAACGAGTCAACGCATAAATTATTCTTAATAAACGGAAGGAATCCAAGAAAATTTTCAAATTAATATTTATTTTCGATTCAAACTAAATATAATTAAAATGACAAATAAAAACAGACCTCAATTGAATTGCGAATGCATATATTTACTTTACTGTCGTACGATATTTGCATGGGAGAAGCTGACGAATCCACTAGACTAGAGGCGATTGGAGTTTACTGGTTTACGATCCTCCTCCTGGGAGAATAAAGGAGGTTACAGCTCAATTTTATTGCCATCAGCAACTACAGCCAACTATGGAATTAAATAAAACTCTGCAGCATGTGCCCCTTTATGTTGGCCTGTAGTTTTATTACGCTTTCGTTAGTAATCACATTGCAATAAACGAGGCGCTACGCGGCTGGCTTCTTCATGTGTCCCTTTACGCCAATCGTCGGCATGGTAACTGATTGTTCATGACGCTAACTAGATATCAAACGGAAATAGGCTTAAACCATTTTTAATTATATGTTATTGCAATTGTTGATTAGATTAATAAAATATGTGTAAGATTTGTTTGTATATAATTTTAATTACTAAAACAGAAAATTTATTTGATGAATTATCATATTTATTTGTGAAAAAATAAAGAACGAAAAGAAAATCATAATATTGATTTGTTAGTATGCAAAGGTTAGTAGAATCAAGACTCTAGATGGTATCGTTTTCATTTTTCAGTACTAATTGCAGACATTATTTTCATTTCAATTTGGAACCATCAAATTTTATAATTATTTTATTTAAATTCAATCGGCTACGTATTACCTGAATGTTTTTACAATAATTGCATTACCTGATCCGTTGGCATCATTAATAGTAAATAACGACGGCAATTCTTTATACTAAAAGCTTAGGCAGCGAGAATAGAGATAAGATCTCTCTAAGACCGACCGAAAAATTCTGGAATGAGCAGCTGGTGCAAAGACACCCCCCTCCCACTCCCCGCCGCGGAGGGGATTCCAGACCCCTTTGTCGCTTTCTTTTTTTAAACGGTAATTTTCGCACCATTAAAATGCAAATGCAATAGTCTGGGCATGTTTTATTTGTCGGCTTTTTAATCTTGTTAAATTTTAAATTGATTTCACCCCATAAATCCGTCAGCATAAATGGGAGCGACCCGCTCTAGCTTGGAAAACAGCCCGGGAAGGTGAGTTCTTCTTTCTTTTTTCATTCTTTTTTTAATACCGCATTGGAGATGGTCGAGGAATAATACAAGTTGTCTGTTGCATCCGTATCTTGGTGCCACCGCTCATTCAACAACTTTAGGTATCGTTTTTTTTTTTTTTTTTTTTATTTACAACCGGTCGTTGTCAGTTTTTTATTTCTGGTTATTTTTTTATTCTTATGGCTTGAAAAATATTTGTCATTAATTTTGGTCATAAAATAAATATTTCGGAGGTGATAAATATCTAAAACATTTTCTCCGTAACAATGTATAAAACAAAGACTGAGTCAGTCATTATTATATATGTTGTGAAGTATATATATATTGTAAATGGGGGATGCTTGTTGTACTTATGTCTATTTATGCTTGTTTAAAGGAAAATTAAGCCGATGTTTTCAATTAAATCAGAAATCAGTCCTTTTTAGCCCTTTGTTAGAAATTCGATAATATATTTTAAGATTTAAATGAAGATTTTGTAGCCTCTACTTCTTCAAATATTTTTTTTATCCAACTTCCAAGAGTATACTGAAAAGTACGGTTCAATGCTTAAGAAAAATGAACTAATATAATTAAGTAACCAATACTAAGTTACCAGCATAACTCATATGAATAAAATATGCATATTAAAATAATGATTTTTTTTGCAGAGATGTATGGAGAAGCTGAACACGCTGGCCATATCGGTGATGAACCAGTGGCCCGGGGTGAAGCTGAGGGTGACGGAAGGCTGGGACGAGGAAGGTTACCACGCCGTGGACTCGCTGCACTACGAGGGCCGCGCCGTGGACATCACCACCTCTGACAGGGACCGCTCCAAGTACGGAATGCTGGCGAGGCTGGCCGTAGAGGCGGGCTTCGACTGGGTCTACTATGAATCCAGAGCTCATATTCACTGTTCTGTCAAATCAGGTAATTTGGAATACTTTTGATTGCAATGGTAAGGTTGTAAGGTATAAGTGTTTCATTGGTAGTTTAGAGCGCATGGTTATCGCTTATTATGATAATAGATCATGAAACAAACTATATATTTTTTTAATACACCCTTCATGCTATGACTGATTATCGGACTTGTCGATTATCTTTAGGTCTCATAATCTTTTCATTTAACTAGTCCAAATCGCCTGAGTAATCAACCATGGAGGAATATGGAAATGAACCGACTTGCACCGCAGCAAAAGAGTTGAGGGTGATCATATCTTACTAAACGTCTTCAATTACTGCACAGGATCCACATGTAATCACAAACATGCATCAACCACTGCAAGAAGGCTTGCTTAAAGTGTTTGAAAACAGCTAGTCACACGGGTGAGCGAAGGCGATAATAAGAATCACAGACAGAAATAAAAATTATATACAACGGCTGACTAGAAATCGAGATTTATAGGCCATTAATAGAATTAGAAGGTTTACCTAGATATAATCAGTATTACTCATAAAAATGTGCAAATCGGCTACTGGTTGATTTAGAAGGCTATGAGACAGGATCTTGGTAAAGTTTAGCCCCGGCCGCCAACTATCCTTGAGACGGCTCTGTAAAAAAGCCATGAACAGAAGCTAAGTAAATCAATTTTACATAAAATGATAGAAAGGAGGAGCCAAAAGGTTTATAAGAATTGCCACTCAACCAAAGCATGTCTAGCACGTCTCGAATCATCCTTGGAATAATCCTCTCATGTCCAGAGATGATGCTGCAACTATATTTACAGCACCATCTCTGTAAAAAAAAACTGATAGGAAGCATATTACGCCATTATATTTTAAACAGTAATTAAAGACGTTTGTAAATACAAACCCTTCTCCAGAAGAGATACGAATTCAGTATAATCGATTTGGAATATCTACTTCAGAAGAAGTATGGGTAAAGAAATGAGGTCAGGCATAACAGCGAGAGCTCACAAATATTTTTGTCTGTAGGACCAGTTTAGGTTACGCAATGTTGCGCGGCAAGTTGCCAGTTTTCCATTCGACTGAAAGACCTGCACATTTGTTTCCAACCGAGTAATAAAACATCCGAATTGTTCCCTATATGCGCACTCTGTCTAAAACTTTCATAAAGATAAGTAGCACGGTTGGCAGGGGTGCCCAGAAGGGAGTTTCATGGCGGAAGTTAAACAAATTTTTGAAGGGGCCACATTTTGACTGGGTTTTAATTTTCGGAGTGTAAAGTTTGAAAAAGAGAACTAGGAAGAAAACATGGGACGGTCCACCACTACTTGTCTAACTCTACTTTTGCTTGTACTGTTTTTAAGAAGAGGAGAGTAATACAATGTTTGGAGAGGAGTGGATGGTTCATGCGCCATCGAGCTTGGGGGGAATGGGCACCCCAGACGATTGGGTTACCTTCATATATTTTATAGATTACATTATCAAAGATACAATGAATATATGTATTTTATTTGTATGACCTGTAAAAAGTAAAGTTCTGAACAGTCGGAACCGCTTTTTAAAATGGTATAGTTGTCAGACTTCTCACTTCAGCTTAAATAGAAGTTCTCAGGTCAGATTCAATTAGTGACTATTATGAGAGCTAGCCCATCCATCATCTTTCTCATCTATTATAAATTATAGCCTCATCCTCTAAACTCGGCCCCCACATCAAAGAGGGGGAGAAGGGAGATGGTACTGGACCCATGGTACCGGAATCCTCTAAAAATAGTAGGATTTTACAATTAAAGTTTTATATTTTGAAATTTAACATATCGTTTGGCATTTCGCATAAACTAAAATATAGAACTATAAGTTTATAAAATATAAACTATAAGTCAACTAGGAAATTGATGCGAAACCCATAAAGAAATGGAAGGTATTTTCAAAACAAATATTTTTTATCCTATACGAAAGTATTTAGTAACATCAAACCAAAATATAGATGAATACTTCGAATAAGTCTTTATCAAATTGTTCTTCCAAGAAAAGAGGTTAAAAAAAATAGAACACTTAAGATAGTAATATTTTATATCTTTTTACAGTGATTCCTCACTGAGATAATAACAGGCGTAAGTGAGCAAGTTACCACTTTCTGGTTCGTATCGGAGGCATGAAAATTACCATTTGGCCACCATTAATTACATAGCTAAGTCTCATCACCGATGGGCGATCTGGAGTCGATTATAACAGTAATATATCCAAGTGATTAGAGAAGGAAAGCGGCGGGGGTATAACCAGCTCCGGGCAGGTCCCTTAATAGTGGCCAATGTAATCTTGCATCCATCATCTCTTATAATTTGTGGTCATCGCCTTCTATCCTCTTAATACAAATTTGTTTTCCCTAGTGGCCATGCGATGTATAAATTGCAATTTCGCCCTATTATTAGGAGTGACCATCTGCCGCCAGGAGCTAATATTGAATCGCGTTAGGTCATCCAACCAGCCAGCCCTGTCTAGAACGCCGGTATTAGTCACATTGCTGGCCTTAGAACAGACAAAGCCACTCGCAAGGTCGACAATCCCATGTCCTTGGATCAACGCATAAAGAACTTTTTCAGGACCAAATACGAAGAACGGGAAATGTATTCAGTTTTCTTTTAATTAGGATGTTGTGACCTTTGCTAGAAATTTAAAATAAATCCTTTCCTATCGAGCCACATCAGCATTCACGGAAAACTTCATTGGAAGACAATACAATTAACCGTCAAGTCTTCTCGATCATAGATCCTTTCTTAACTTACCAACAAAACAAGCTACTAATCTATACCATTATACGCAGATCTATTTGTAGAAACGGATCGGAATTTTTCGGGATTCAGCTGAATATGTTCACATAAACACCAGTTAAACAATATCTAAAATTCTTCGAAAAATCTTTTATACACCATGGCTTATATAAATCATAAATACGAAGAACAGAACATGCATCCAATTTTTTTTTAAAAGTAAAACGGTTTTTCTGTTATATAAGAAATACATCTTAATATGTAGATTTTATAACTTCATTTGAATATCGTCATTTTATTATTCCATCGATTAAAAAATAACATTTAAATGTTCGTTATGACTCAAGTATTAAAATGAACTAATACTGTTTCCGTTTTTCATCTAAAGTTAAAACTTCCGATACTTGCCGGAGAAGAAATCAGATAAATTATATTAGCACTTGCTACCAATCCAGCCACAGATGGATCTACGGCGGGGAACTTTCGGGCTGAAGGTTCCCTCCCTCCAAAATGGCAAAATATAACGATGTTTAAAGAAAAGAAATTGCGTATTAAAGTATTATTATTTGTCTAATTACATTTAATTGGACTTAACGAATCACTTAAACACCATTGCATGTAGGTAGTTAGTTTCTTTCTTTCTTCCGAAGTAATTATCTTAGTATATACATACAAAAAAAATCTTTAGGGCTGAAGCCCTCCCCCAAAATTAAATCCGTTAGTGATTCCAGCTGAGATATTTACTATTAAATGCTAATACCACAGACTAGCTAGCCACTCAGAGGATGGCCATATGCCATTCCCTGCCCTTCTCATTCACTCAACTGGAGTCATATTGCTGACTGGTTGGAAGGCAGAAGTGCTTGGCGACAATGAGCCGTGAAATAGAGTTCCTCACCCTGCCATGCTTCATACTTCCTCCTTGGCAATACATCAGCCACGGACAAAGATCAACCCCTCCTTCTTATATTTCAGATAACGTTTTAGGATTCACGCTGTATTTTCAACTTTTATTACAACGAGGGTCGGTTCCTTTCATCCCTACCAAAAAAAAAAAAAAAGAGAGATAAAAGGAAAGAAAGAACCGACTGGACTTCTAAAAATGGAGGGCATCTACCTGTAATTTATACTTCGCACGTATTCGGTTTGAAGTTTGCTTTTTTTCCCTACACTGTTCTTTTCAATATGCATGAATACGTTTTTTAAATTGCCAATTTCTTGTCAATTTCATAAGTGTTACATGGTTTTAACTTGTTTCATGTTTTATTATTGAGCACTAATAGGTTTCATGTTCTTTTGAAAGCATTATTCATTTTTTTTTTTTGTTAGGCTATGGTAGTTCTTAATCCTTATGTAAAATAAGGATTATGAACTAAATTATTGTAGTTCTTAAACCTTATGGTCTAAGGTTTTCGATTATAGATTAAAAAAAAATAAATAAAGAAAATCAGTCAATGATAAACACAATTTTTCTGTCTTTGATTAAAATGCGAATTAGCAACGATTTATCATTTTGATTTCTAACGAAATGCATTATTTAATGTAATGTATTTCATAATTCACATTCCCAAAGATAACTTGTACATTATAATATATTAATATATCCCAAAATTTAAAATATAAATAGTTTACAGAACGGTCCTTCCCCGTTCAATGTCAAAGTCACAAGGCCTTCTGCCACATATGTAACCTTTAGCTATCCCCAATCCTTAAAATGCCCTCGGGCAGTGGAAGGAATTTATTACATGTTTATATTGTATTATTGTATACTATATGTAATTGTTTCAATAAACTTTTTGGAGGGTAAGAAAAAAAAAAAAAAAAATGTATATATATATATATAAATAGTTAAAAAAAATAACCCTAGACGTATGGAGATTTTGAAGGTGCAAGACAAGAAGCGAGGAATAAAAAACTTGTCAAGTGATAAATATAAATTTATATGGTGTTTAGGAGAGAGGATCAGATAAAGGGTGGCATCCTCAGGGAGAATTAATAACCGCTCTTTCCTTTTCAGGACCCACCTCCCACACGAGTCACTCCCGTCTTCCAATGCCTCCTCAATCCCATTGTCTACAGCATTTAAATCCAAATAACGACGGCTTTACTTTTACAGTCACTTTTATTGCGATTTGCTCTACGTTTTTATGATTCTTTGATCGATCAAATGATCAAATCAAAGGATATAACTGATTTTAAATTAATATTATATAAATATAAATCATGGAACGGAATCAATCTCATAAATACATTGGA